AAAAAAAAAATATATATATATATATAGTTATACATATTGGTACTAATAATTATCAGAGATTTGTTGTATATATTTTATATTCATAACTCTAAGAAGGAAAGAGAGAGACAGCAAAAAATTAATTCTCTAAATTTGGTAAAATTAAAACGTTTTAAATTTAATATACATATAAAACATAGATAACATATAACACAAAGAATTAATATTTTTAGATTAATATTCTTTAATTCTGTTTAAATTTTGGAAATAGTAATGTTTAATTAGTTTACAAATTTATTTATGGCTTCTCACTATTTACATAATTTCTTTATTTTATTATCATCAAATATATATATTTCAATTATCTACAAATATATTTAATCATTTAAATTTATAAGAATTAAACTTTTTTTTTAATTTAACGAATTTATTTTTTTTCAACTTTAAACAATATGATTAATTTATGCAACGTGTATTAATCGATAATTTAATTGTTTCTGCTGTCTATCAATATTTATTATTTTCTTACTTAGTAAAAATTTTTACAAATAACGAAGGAATTTATCAATAAGAAATTCTTAGAGAAATGTGTGCCGTACACTAAGATAAATAGAGGTCTCAGTAATGTATTACGATGAGAATGTAAATGTAACTGTACAAAGAAATACCGCAAATATCTCTGACTCTGTACGTCTACAAACTTCAAAGACATTCTCTCTACGATGAAAAAAAATAACGATATATATCATACTTATCGAAATAAAAGATATTTACGTACAAAAAGGATAAGAAAATAAAGAAACGAGATATTTTTGTTTTATACATTAAAAATATAATGTTTCTGCAACTTATTGTTACTTAATGATCATCTAATCAACAATTGTATTGTACGTTATAAGAGAGGCCATATACATGTATATTACGTATATTCATCGTAAAATATAAAATACGCAAACAACTGTACCTGATCATGAAGAATTTTATTTTTTCTTTGCACGAGTTTAAACAAATTGATATTTTTTTATACAGTAAAATATAGGATAAATCAACATATAAATTTTGGTAAAGCTTAGTAGAACATTCACCAAAAGTATTCATACATGTACGTGTTTGTTGTGTGTGTGCTTATCACACTTTATGTGCTTCACCAGTGTTACATATTCACACATAAACAAACACATATATATTCATATATATGCATGCATATGCATATATATATACATAAAGTCGCACACAAATAAAAGAGAAAACGTAAGGCTTATTATTCGTATAGTTATACTTCGCTGTACGCTTCGCTACATATCTTTGGACAGCGTAATATATTAATGTTAACATATAAAACTCTCAACATCTTTATATCGGAAATGAAAGTTCCTCGTTCTAGTTCTTAGTTATACATTTTACGTATGTATACGAAAACAGTCCTATGCAATCGTCATTTCAATAAGTAGCATTTCGGAGATATTCTATTATATATAGTTAAACAAATCGGACTACCTTGTGCTCGATTATAAAAATCGTAAGAAAATTATCCTCGTACAAATCTTAATTTTCTGAGCACTATTATTTTTTACATCACATCGAATGTATAACATTAGCAAAGAGCAAAGAGCAAAGTCATCATATCTGATTATAAAATACAGCTACTTGCTTTTCTTTTTAATTTTAACCCTAGGATACTAAGATCACAAAGAAATGAATACGCTAAATAGATACGTTACAGAAACGTATTAAGTTAGAAACAGGTAACAATAATGATTTTCATCTTTCCAATCATTTAATAGTATAATTTTTTCGTTGTACAACAAAAATATAGAACATCACAAAAAATATTTAAAATGTATTTTTGGGAGAAGTTATGTTAACGGTTATATAATTCAATTATAGATGCGTTAAAATTAACTCTTAATACAATTTTAACAATATTAGACTCAGTAAAGAGAAAAATTAATAAAAGCTTTCTCCATTTAAATGTTAATACGTTTTCCAATATACACGTCGATCTCTTTACGCATTATTAATATTAAAAACGGTGATCAGTATTCTAAGGTTAAATCATTACTTTTAATGAACAACGCCTCTCGCGCAATGTATCGTACATACTGTTTAGCAAAGAGTTGTTAAATAAAAATATATCTCCATTATAATTGCAATGTACATCTCTATGTACGTCAAATAATAAATAAAGAAGGCTGAATATATCTTTTCGCACGATATTATTCAGATATTCATGCAAAATATAAGTAATTGAAGACGCGAAATGCAAAATGCAATATCAGTCTAATAATTATAACTTTCGACGCGTATTCTTTTTTCTTTACTTTTTATATAAAGAGTGATATTCTATATATATTCTTAAATTCCATATTAATAATATTAAAAACTGTAAAAGTACTTATAAAAACATTGGCCTTCACAATATTAATAACATAACGATGTTTAAGTAACAACAAAGTTTTATCAGTTTTTCTTTTCAATAATGTAAACAATTGTAATTATTTTAAATTAAATCAACTCAATACAATGAATACTAATACAAAGATAAACTGTTTTAACAACACTAAAACTATCAAAATAAATTGCATATGCATCATGTAAATAAAGAATTATTACTTTTAGATAAATCTTGCTTGTGTCAGTATCGATAGCAAAAATACCATGTATAAATTTGATCTTAATATTAATATTGAAGTAAATCTTCTGGATAGTACCAAAGCTATATACACCACGTCAAACCGCTGCCCTTATTTATACATGCAGGGTGAGACACGTAAAATATAACACATTAATTTCTTTCATATATCTATACTTTAAGGAAAAAATACTTTAACCCTTTTGTCCCGAGTGACACACATAGATACCATAAATGTACTATATTCAGGGACGAAAGGATTAACTAATAATTAAGTTTTAGGGGAAATATATATTTTTGATGAGGTTAACAGTTTTTTCATAAATGTATATTTGAAAAATTGTGTAATAACTGTATCATTTTGTTGATTGAAAATCAATCTTTTCTTATGATATTTATAGTCAAAATTGCGATTAATTCAATGATATTCATCTTCCACGTAAAATATCTTTGTTATTTTTAAGAATAGTACAAAATATCGTAAAGTGACATTATTCAGTTCGTAAAAGTATGTGTGTGTATATATACATGCCCTTTCAAATTGAAAAATATACATCTTATATACACACACACACTTTAAAATATTTTACTTTGTTCTCAAGAGCAATAAAGATATTTTAAGTGATAAAAATAAACAGACTACACAGCATAGTGATGATTTTGTGACGGTAATTTAAGTTTTAAGTTTATTATACAACGCCCGACACACATTTCTATATTTTCATATAAGCGTATATTAACAAAGAAATACGTTCAGAAATATGATCAATCGATGACATGCCTCACCCTATTATACATGCATATATGTGATATATCTGCGATATATTATATTAATAATGTAAATGTAGTACTAATAATTTTAGGCATTAGTAAGTTTTCCCAGTGTTTATAAAAAATGTTTAAATAACTCGTGCAACTCACAATGTCAAAGATTGGTCTTATATTTTACATTTCACGACTTCAATTTTATTGTTTGAGGCGTATCGATATTAACAAATTAAAAGATACACGGACAGCGGGATATACTATGTTCCAATGCCTCTAACTAAGGCTATAAGACGGATTGAATTTAAATGACGCTCGAAAAAGTAATTTTAAAGACGTAAGCAAATCACATGGAATGTATACGTCAGGAAATTATATCATCTAGAGTTACAAAACGAATCTGGTTATGTTAACGGATTCTAATGTGTATACGAATTTCTTACATTTATCTGAAAAGTTCCACCATGCTACGTTGACAACTGTGTACTATTCAATATATTGTTATTGTGTGTCTATATAGTTTATCTTTTTCTTTTAATATAAGAACTAACAATACTTTGTACAAGTTTTATGATACAAATATATTAAGATTATTCGGTTCATGTACTGTGTTGTATAATTTAGAGTTTATTACACGTCTCAATCTTTTATTGTAGACGTGTAAACGATGTCTTCCCTCTTTTATAACGTTAGGAGTTTTTACGGGTTTTGTTTTATCTTCTTGTGTTCTTTATTGAGAGAAATTTAAATTTACACGTATACGTGTCTCCACTGGCAAACGTATTCTTCGTTTCTATTCATTTCGATGATGATATCAATCGTGAAGTGTCCTCATGGTTCTGATATTTTGGTTTGCCATGAGTGAAAGGCAGGTATTTGTACTTAATCATATGCTAGAAATAATAAAAAGCCACATTAATTATAACTACTTAACTCACATTAAAGATAAACAGAACAATTAGATTAATACGATTGTATGTGTGTGTATGTGCAGTTAATAAAATTTAAATTAAAAATTTAAAACACATTATTTACTATTTTTTATATATCTCTATTTTTATTAAAATCTTCAATGCAATGTCAAAGCTGTTATATAGTTTTGTTAGCAATATTATTGTGTCTTAAGGTAATAAAGAAAATTATTTCTTACCACTATCTGTCGCTTCATTGTAATGATGAATAGCATTATGAAATATAGCACAAGAATCGGCCAGAATACTGGTACATTAAAACAATCGAATAATGTGCATATCATAGCAAAAACTGTAGACTTTGTCATTGAATACCAAAATTTGAATTCAGGTAATCTCCTGATAAATGGTCTAAACTCCTCATTAGACCTTGTAGGTAATTCAGGACCTTCTCCATCTATAATTGTCACTCATTGAAATTATATATCACATAAAATTTTTAAATTAAGACTTAAATATCCATAATTTTTTAATTATAGTTTAACTTTGTAATTTTTCTAATACAATTGCTATTTTCGAATCCATTTTATGAATTAACTTTTTTTTCATGTGATTTTATAATTGTATACAAACTTTTGTACATAGAAATCTAATAAGACACTCACCATCAAAATCCATGGCAGGATCAATTTTTGGCGTGAGGAATGCTATGAATAAATTGAGGTGATAAATTCCTAATGCGTATGTCACAACATACCATCCCTGAAAATATGAAAGTGTTTCTGTAGTACTAAACAAAAAAACAATAAAAATACTAACAATAAAAATCAAATTTACTACTCAGAAAAAAAAATATCATACTTGCGAGATAAATATACGTAGAAAAAAAAGAGCTAATAGGAATACAGCAAATATCCATCTTGATATTATATGTGGTGTCCATAAATCCAGGTATCTTTGATATATCTGCAATATGAATGTTTTATGTAATATTATAGTATAGATATAATACTAAAAATTACTTAGAACTTAGGAATTTAGAATTAGAGATACGATTATCAGGCTCGAGTTAGACAAATTGTATAAAATAATATAATGTAAAAAAATATATAAGTATACTGCAGATTCTTTGTCAAAACATAATTTAATGATGTGACAAATTTTGATACGTTTTAATAATACATTTTATATATAAGTAAAGCAAATAAGCAAAAAATCAAGTATAATATTATGTAAGATATTAAATGTTAAATAGATTATTTATTAACCTGTGATACTCTTGTTATCCCCTGACTAAAAACACTCCGTCTGGCTGGACCACCCAAATCTTCATCTTGCATCATTTTCTCTTACTGCAAGCAGAAGATTCTAGTGCTGTCAATATTAACCAGATAGATTTTATATCTATATTCCTGGATATTGTCCAAAATAATCAAATATTCAAGTAATATTTTAATATCATTTATATAGAGTATTTTTAATAAAGATTATATCTTTAAAGATAATAATAGAATAAAAATATATCCTGTTAACATAGTGTCAAAACATATATTTATGTAAAATAAATACTATAACAAATTTTTAATATAGTTACCATTTTTCTGATGCAAAGTTCAATTTACTATAAAAGTAATTAACACATTCTTTATAGTATATTTGCAGTAGTAATATTTATGTTTGCATAAATATAAATATTAATTATATACTTAATATCAGCAAAATTTACACAAGTTTGAAGTCACTATTTTTAGATATAAATGCTTTTTAATAGATTTTTACATTGATCTATTTAAATATGTTTTTGACACTATTGATAGGATATCTTTTACATCATTTTTCCATTCTCTCTTATTACCTTCCTAAAGTAAAACATCTTTTTTAAAAAAACACCTTGTATAAAAAATATTTCATGTTAATTTTTAAAAATTTATATATATATTTAATGAAATCATACAAATGTTCTATCTATAGAAAAGGAATCTTATCCATGGAAAATATATCAGAAATTCCAAAATTGGCAAGAATTATTATATTTCTATAAACTTTTTAAAAATTATCCGGATACTGTAATATTTGACGATAAATTTTACCACAAATTATCGTCACTTAAACACGTTTACACTAAAACGATTTCAGTTGTGTTCCAAGCCCATTGTAAAAAGAGTGCTACTAATTAATTTTTGCCTATAATCAGAAACAATATATGCATTTATTATAGCCTCTAATTTTTAATTGCTAGTAATCATCGTTTCAGTCGAAACATCGAACAATGTCTCGTAGATTTTAATTATCACCATCACAATCGAGGAGAATTCAAGGTTACGATTGAAGGAATTCCGGCGAATTTAGCCATAAAAAAAGCATGTGCGAGCGAATTATGTTGGAGACGAGGAAGAGCTATTTGATCGATTCATTTATTCCCGACGAATAAACCATCACTCGTAACGTGTCTCAAGAAAAAGCATTATCATCGACATTTTAATCAACGTAGCACATTCGGATGTACACTAACCTTAACCTAACCTCCCGAACAAATACTGATGAAGATAAAACTGAGTATTTGTTCGAGAAAAGTGCAGGGAAACGATTTACCTGCAATATTCGCCGTCTTTTCCGTCGTGCGTAGCACACACTTTGCTGAGTATTTTGTTAAAAAAATATAACACGTCACAACATCAATGACATACTATGATTAGAATACCTACAGCATTACGAAGTGCTCTGGTCGTCGCCGTTTTGCTATCAAATAGGGGACAATAAAATAGGGACAAATTTACATTCGATTCTAGGGATGGGCGATGTTTACCGATTAATCGAAACGGTCGATAGTTTTTTCTAATAATCGATTAATCGGTTCGATGATTTCCTCTTTCGATGCATCGATGTTCGATTGTTTATGTCAGACATTAATAATTTTCTTTATAATTATTTCCTATTTAATAAAAGAAATTTTTTATACTTAAAAAATTTACTATAATATAAAAATTGCGCTTTGCCCATGCAGTACAAAAAACTGCGCTGGTGATCAGTGCCATCTATCAACAGTTGTAATTTAACCAACAGTGGCTGCGTTCAGAAAAACCCTACTCGGTGAGTAGAGTAACATTTAATTAGCCAATCAGGGCAAAAGGAACTAAGATTTATTTATTATGATTGATTTATTAAAGTAACTCTATCAATCGAGTAGGATTTCTGAACATAGCCAGTTTGGGATGCTTTTCATTTACATACACTGTGTTAGGGTGTGTTCCCATTTAGCGCGTCGCGTCGTCCTTCGCGGACCAATCAAATCGTCCCATTTTATTGCCTAACTTTACGACAAATAAAACGGGACGATTTGATTGGTCGACGGACGACGGACAACGGACGACGCAACGGGTGACGCGCTAAGTGAGAAAGCATCCTTACACAAAACTAGTTTATTGATTGCATATTATCTTACAAGATATTTTAGATAATATGTGACTAATAAACTGGATTTGTGTAACTTATAGCGTGTTCGACTGGCCCTGAATTAATCGCTCCGAGAGCGATTAATGATGTTATAAGTCTCTACTAGCCAATCATAAAACTTTTAAGTACTTGTTTGACCAATAAACGTAGACTGAATAACCTAGAGCCAGTCGAATATGTTAATAATGGGTGCTTTCCAGTTGCGTACACCATGTTACACAAAATCAATTTATTGGTTGTATATTATCTTACAAAATATTTTAGATAATATGTAACCAATAAACTGATTTTGTGTACGTGTATATCAAGATGCGTTAAACTGCGTTCCCATTTAGCGCGTCACGCCATTTATTGCGTACTTGACGCCGACTAAAATGGGACGATTTGATTGGCTTAACTCGGACGACGCAACGCGTGACGCGCTAAGTGCAAACTCAGCTTTATGGCTCCTGCACACACGACGCGGTAATGCTTGCTGTGCGGCGAAAGTCCGCGCGACAGCCAATCAATATGTTGTTTTTCCGTAAGAGCTAGAAAGTTATTACGGAAAGCAGCATATTGATTGGCTATCGTGCGAACTTCCGCCACGCGGCAAGCATATGCTGCTTTCCGTAATAACCTTCTAGCTCTTACGGAAAAACAACATAATGATTGGCTGTCGCGCGGACTTCCGCCGCGCAGCGAGCATTATGGTTCCTGCACACAGGACGCGGTAATGCTTGCCACGCGGCGGAAGTTCGCGCGACAGCCAATCCATATGCTGCTTTCCGTAATAACCTTCTAGCTCTTACGGAAAAACAACATAATGATTGGCTGTCGCGCGGACTTCCGCCGCGCAGCGAGCATTATGGTTCCTGCACACAGGACGCGGTAATGCTTGCCACGCGGCGGAAGTTCGCGCGACAGCCAATCCATATGCTGCTTTCCGTAATAACCTTCTAGCTCTTACGGAAAAACAACATAATGATTGGCTGTCGCGCGGACTTCCGCCGCGCAGCGAGCATTATGGTTCCTGCACACAGGACGCGGTAATGCTTGCCACGCGGCGGAAGTTCGCGCGACAGCCAATCAATATGTTGTTTTTCCGTAACAGCTAGAAGATTATTACGAACAGCAGCATATTGATTGGCTGTCGCGCGGACTTCCGCCGCGCAGCGAGCATTATGGTTCCTGCACACAGGACGCGGTAATGCTTACCGCGCGGCGGAAGTTCGCGCGACAGCCAATCAATATGCTGCTGTTCGTAATAATCTTCTAGCTGTTACGGAAAAACAACATATTGATTGGCTGTCGCGCGGACTTTCGCCGCGCGGCAAGCATTACCACGTCCTGTGTGCAGGAGCCATTACCGCATCCTGTGTGCAGGAGCCATTAGCTGGAAAGCACCCTGATTTGTCGTCTACAATGGCAGCAGGAGTAATAGTAAGAAATAAATAGTAAGTAAATAGACCATTATAATCGATTATTTTTGAATCGTGAAAATGGAATTGGTCAATTTGCTTACTGCTTATTTCTCACTATTACTTCTACTGTCATTATAGACGACGAATTAGTCTATGGATGCGTTCCGAAATTCAGATCTATTCGTTTTCGAAGGACTTTTCTGAACTAATGCACACTAGTATAATAGTATAATATGAAGTATTCACATTGCATCGACATCCGACATATGACATCGATATCCAATAAAAGAACTGATTTTTCTGGAGATAAAATATTGCTAGCTAGAAACTTTAGTAAAGAATCTCTACTTTTGGATATCGTATCGTCGTACGGCTGAGTTCCCACTGAGCGCGTCACGCGTCGCGTCGTCTGCCTACGTCACGAGTTAACCAATCAAATCGTTCCATTGGAACAAGTGCGTCTGCGTCGCGCGTTGCGTCATCCCAATTAGAGGATTTGATTGGTTAACTCGTGACGCAGTAGACGACGCGACGCGTGACGCGCTCAGTGGGAACTCAGCCGTACGTCAGATGTTGACGCAGTGTGAATCCTCCAAAACTTTATATTCAGGAGTCGTAGTATGATTCAACGACTAGTCAGACGGGCCTTTACGTTTCAAGTAATACAGTTGCGTCCCTCTTGACTCTCTGTCTCTTTCCGTCTTTCGTGTTGGCGTGATTGCTTCTTCGATGAAAACGAGCCGAGATCTACGTGTTCGGTAAGTTCGCGACGCGATCGGAGCGATGCGTAGTCTCGTACGTGTCGTGCTCGCTTGTGGTTTATTCGCGTAGCTTTAGAGCAACGCGAGCAACGTGATCGGTGGTTCGTCGACGTGATGACGTCAGATCTCGAAGCATAAGCCGAGAACGCGTTTAAAGCCGAGTAGGGCGTGAAAGCGTGTGCGTTCTTTCGTCTCGGCTGGAAGTATGTGCAAATAGCACCGCGTGCGTCCGTTTCATCCGCGGGATAATTATGTTCGGTGCTGTTTCGACGTGATCGACAGTGAATAGTGTACCATGTTTCGCTGCATTCCGATTTTTAAGGGATGTAACAGGCAGGTGGAATACGTTGACAAGCGTCATTGCTCTCTGCCGTGCGTCCCTGACGATATCTTACGCTACTCCCGGAGCTTAGAGGAGCTGCTGCTGGACGCGAATCACATCCGCGATTTGCCAAAAGTAAGTGGGATATTGGTCTCGATGGTGCTGGTGCGGTAGCAAATTCCTTGCTGCCTTTCTCACCTCCGCAATCTTACCTCTTCCCGTCACTGTCTGTGATCATTTCTCCGTCTCTTTCTCGCTCTTTCTCTTTCTCTCTTACTCCTTCGTACCATTGTATTCAGAACGTACGATACGCTACGTACGAGAACGTAACACGCACGAGCGTAATTTGAAAGAAATTTCTATATCTTTTACAATCATCCACACCTACGTATGCACGCACACACATCGTATATACACACGTACACACATATCTATATATATATGTATACATATCATTTTTGCTTCATGCTCAACTAGTGCATATTACGAGCCCTCATCAATATCGCCTTCTCGTACTCGTTTCAGAATTTCTTCAGACTTCAGAGACTACGAAAGCTTGGCCTCAGCGACAATGAAATAAATCGTTTGCCGCCGGACATCCAGAATTTCGAGAATCTCGTGGAACTGGATGTGTCCAGAAATGGTGAGGAATGTACTTGTGTTGTTTTCAATTTAGCGCGATTAGATACTTATTCTACCGTGTGTACTCGCCGCGACGACACGGCGATTTGTGCGCGTCGATGCGTGAACGTCGTTTAGGAATTCGAGCAATTAATCGTAATTAATCCCACTGGGACGAGCAACTCGCGCGCGCAAACGAGTTCTCACGCCCCGTTACTACGTCCTTCCTCCCCGTTCATTGTTGTGTTACTCTTTTGTGCTCGATATTTCAGGACTCATCCTGTGATGCACATCATCGCGATTGCATCGGCGATCGACGGTTCGCTGTCGAGCGAGCGAGGCTCGTGTAGTAACGCGCGTACAAAAGAACGATCTAATGATAGGAAAAAAAAAAGAAAGAAAATGTCGAGCCGAGAATGTATAATCGTCATCGTTGTCGTCATCGGATTAACTTAGGTATCCTCGTGAGAGAGAAGCCGCGGATCCGTTCGAGAGAGAGAAAAATCTCGCGTCATTTAGAATTCGACGCGGCGACTGCTGGCGAGCGTCGACGAGATCCCGTATAACGGTGTATCTTCTTTCGCTTCCTGTCCGTCGTTGCTTCCACCATAGCGCGTCATCGTGCCGCGGCTGCCGTGCCGCGCCACACCAAGCCGAGACGAGCCGAGCCGTTCCGAGCCGCCCCGCCTGTCACTGGCGTCGATCGTAAATATTTCCGCGGCGTATCGTTTTTTCTTTTCCCGTCCCCTACCTGTTGCAACGCGTCTCATTTGTTAGGGAGAATCCGAGAACGGGTACAACCCGAAACTTCTCGGCGCTCATTGTGTCTGAAACTCGGCAAGTGAAAGTTTTTGGGTCACGCCGAGCATACAGAAATGTCAATTTGTGCATGCACATCGTAGCCGTGAAAGAGGAGAGCCGAGAGGAGTTGTCGAATTGCGATAATAGAGAGATAGAGAACAGGAGTTAAATCTGATTATCGCGTTCGAAATGCTAGGCTCTTGATCGCGATGGAGAACTTTTTCTTCTTCGCGCGGACAGCCAACGCGCGATGAACGCGTCGATGTTCGTCCCGATTGATCGTGAAGACATGTCTGATATTTATATTACAGCGCGTGCAACGCGCCGACGAGTTGCACGTAGAGTCGTATGAGCGAGTATTTAAAATCTCCGCGGCGAATGCGTTTACGGGCGAACCTCAACGGGCTCTGAAGAAAGATTTTCATATTAGATTAGTTCCGTCGATGATTGGTGTTGGCCGAGAAAACCAGCTTATTGACAGCGGCACGGTCGATCATGCAGTCGTTACGTGTCGTTACGTTATTACTGCGAGTTTGCTCGATGTAACATCGAGTGATGGTATTTTCATCGCGAGAGGTAAAAACGTCGTAATGCTCTTGCTTTAACGTTTTTTTTATCCGTGATATCTCGCCGTATATTATTATTGTATATAATCTCCCTTCATAAATTGCGTGCAACTGTATGCACGCACGGAGTCCGTCAGAATTCGAACCTGCGAGTTTTTCTCTCGACCCGCCGTCTTCTATCGATTTAATTGACGTCTCTTATCGCAATGAAAATAATTGGCTAGATTGGACATATTAAATCATTGTTATGTACGATTGTTATACAGGGTCATTCTTAGACGTGTGTTAGTGCATTTAGGAGATGAATGTAGAGCTGGAAGAGACAAGGGAAGAAACAAATATAGATGTAAAATATTCTGGAGTTATAACAAATCAAAGAAAATCCTCGACTGTCGTTAGTCGGAATGGAAAATATCCAACGGATTTAAGAATCATTTGAGAGATGTCCGATTTTCTAGCAAATGCGAGACAATATTAAGATGTGTGTTGCAGCGTGTGTCGTGCCAAACGTATAACTTGGATTTCTCTCTCTCTTGTACAATTTTCAATCTTATGTGTAATGATGAGGTTGAAAATCGTAAGAAATTTTAGTAAATTGCGTTTATATTGAACTGCACACAAGCGAATCTGTCCCAGAATGTTAAATAAATTATACTTTAATAATGAGAATTAATTAAAAACAATACAAGCCGTACAAAGATATTGGTAGCGAGTAATTTCTTGCAGAAGAATAATAATGTCGACGAACTTTGTCGTACATCCTTTCGTAGTTCTCTTATTGACTTAAATTCATTCTTAATGATTGAATATCCGAGAGCCTTTTAAAGTTCCGACTCCTCACACCGCAGCCATCTTGATTGATGACACGAGGAAATACATGCCCAAAATTCCTATGTCGAAAAAATTACACTCGCAATCGAAGTGCGCTCGAATGAATCTGTCCCAGAGAAAGCACCGAATAAATCATACTTTGGCAATAAGAATTTTTTACTTCGACGTACTTGCCCAGAAATTCTGGGCATGCATTTCCACGCTTACGACGTCATCGGTCAACAGTTCTGCAACGAGAGATCAGGAGCTTTAATACAAATTTCGTTTAATAATAATAATAAATAATCAGAGATGGATATGTGAGCTAAGGAATAAATTGAAAACCAAGTCCCTACTTCTTGGCTTAAGCTGAATTAAGAATAAATTGATTGATCGAATAATAAATAAATAAATGTCGAGGCACATATGATATATATTGTACAATGACAGATGAGTACTTGTAGCGCTTTCTGTAATTTATCGCAATTGCAAAAATCGATATATCATTGTGACGCTGAATTCCTCTCGCACCACGCACTTCCTCGGTGATGATCCGTCGGTCGTGTCGCTCGTTGGCGTCACGTGACGCGGATCACACCATCGGTAGGCAGGTATTTACGATCAATTATGCATTAGGATACGTTACGTATTTAGGTCCCGTTTACAAAACAATATCCGCGCACTGACTCATCGCGGAATCCGCTATAAAAGTGAGAATAATAGTAACGTGTAGCGATGTAACACGCAACAGGACGGAGGAAACGCATCAGCTCGCTCGCTCGCTCTCAGACGCATGAAAAATCAGCGGATTGTGCGCGAACCACGACAAATTTCGGATCGAGGAGGTTGTCATTTGATTGAGATAGCCGTTGTGTGTGCGTGCATAAACTCATTGCACACTTGAGCTACTCGTCTTCTAAATCCTCCTCCGTATCTCTTCCTCCTCATCTTTTCCCCTTCTCTCTGTTTCATCATAATCCATGTTTACCTCCATTCAAAGCTCCTTCGCGGGGATTACGTCAGTTTTGCTCGTACTGAAGCAATTGGACGCAATTTCTCATTGAAAAGTTCAAGGCCGTTTCGCGTTTCAGAGGATGTCCCGAGTAAAAATTGCTTCGAAATTCAAGGAACGCGATCGTAGATACGTGTGTCTCCCGTTATTATTCAGCAGCTGAAGTTACTCGTCGATTTTCGATTCGTCAGAATCAAGTCGATAGAGAATGAAGGTGCAGCTCGTAAATACGCTTTAAAAGTCAACGGGGGTTTCACCGCTACCCTTTAATGATTTGGGTGTGAATCGGCAAGGTCTTTCTTTTTTCTTCTTCTTTTCTTCGTACCATCTTGTTATCGTCTTTTTATGCCGATTCTCTCAACTCCCGCAAACACGCAACAGAGCGGTGGTTTCCCGTCACCTTCTCTCTAAGGCAAATTACAAAGGCCGAGGGTGGACGTTTCGTGCTATTTATAATGTTTATTGCGGTTGCATCAAAAGGGGCTACCGTCGGCTAGCCGCGATGCCGCGATGGCTTCTGAAAATTGATGGTGCTCGGATGGAAAAAGGGTGTGATATGCACCCGTGGCTGTCTGTGAACCGTCGCATCTCCATTCACCCATGTATTCTTTGTTTATGGAATCGACCCCTGACTCCGCATCGCTCTGTTTCTCTTTTCCCTCTCGGCAAAATGTTCGACAAAATGTTCGACAAAAGACCCACACGGCGCAATTCTTTTTTTCACTTTTTCTGTGTTGGATCCATTCTGATGAAACGTCGGATAGAATTTGGAGTTTGAAATGTCAAAGATTTTATTGAATATTTCTTTTGTAATTAAGCTCCTTTTGATAATATTTACTTTAGCAAGTTTGTTTTGTTGAAATGTATTTCTACAGCTGATCTGCAGCCAATCTCTCATCATCATTATCATTTGATATCGTTTAAAATTGTTGAAAATTAGCTTAATTCTTAATTCGATTTCTTTTAATTTATTTTCTCGAAGCATTAACAAGATGAAACATTCTCGATTCCGGACTTTTAGTTGAGACATGCTCTCATGCGATGAAAAAAGTCAACGGCTGAGGGAATCTGGTTTGTCGCAGTGGATTTTTACTGGCGGAATCACGCTTTGTTGTACATAATTTCCTCTGGTCACTGTCGCGGTGCGTTTGACTCGCACGTATGACGGAATCTCTCTCTCTCTCTCTCTCTATTTGAACGTTCATAAAGCGAAACGCAACAGGTCGTGTAGCCCCTTTTTGTTTTATATAACGGAATATGTTGAATACGATTTAAATGAGCAGAACCGCTTGTACGTAGAGAAGTCATTTACAAAATAGTTAATTACCAAAGCTCGCGTATTTCGAGAGCTAACACTCTGTTCTGTAGCCATGCATTTTGTAAAAATGTAATTTTTGAACCGTTTCTCGTTTATGATCAAGATGTGTTATAACTATGTTCTCTCGTTCCTTTCTTGCTTATCTTGCTCGAGCAATATTGAGTAATACACTATTGCTCGAGTAATATTGGAAACGATATCGTTGATGAGCTTACAATCAACCAATGCTTATCTTACTTCACAGATATACCGGACATTCCTGAGAACATCAAGAACTTACGGGCGCTACAGGTGGCAGACTTCAGTAGTAATCCTATTCCAAGGTTACTTAATTATTCTTATCTCTCTGCTATTTTTAAGTATCTGTTCACATCGTATATGATGCCTTTCGATGTTGTCAAGAGCAGATATTCTCGTCTCTCTCCAACCCGACATAAAGTGAACTTTGATTTTGTCACTTGTTTCAGGCTTCCAGCAGGATTCGTACAGCTAAGAAATTTAACTGTGCTTGGACTTAATGACATGTCCCTCACGAACTTGCCACCTGATTTTGGAAGGTAATACCGAAGTAAATTTAAAAACTGCAGTATCCGATTATCGTGTGGATAATGTATTTTTTTCTTGGTGTTTAGCTTGGAAGCATTGCAGTCACTGGAATTAAGAGAAAATTTGCTCAAATCCTTGCCTGAGTCGCTCTCTCAGCTCTTTAAACTCGAGCGGCTGGATCTTGGTGATAATGAAATTGAGGAATTGGTAAGAACGATCGTAATTTTACGAACGATTCTTTTCTTCCCGAGTCTCTATCATTGATAATACTCTGATAATGGTTCTGAGGAAAAAAAAATAGTATATAGAGGGTAATTTTATCTTCAGTATCATATCACGCTGTGATTATAAATGTAATTTTTATGGACATTTAATGCTTTATAAATGTTACATCATACGTACTTAATTGCCTCTTTAGTTGTATTTGATTTCGTGCTGTGGTTTTTACGTCGAGCGACGAAACTATAGCCTCGGTTATAAATGGAATTAAAGGAATCGGCTATTTTTATTGCGCTTCCTTTCCTCAGCCTGCACATATAGGAAAGTTACCAGCTCTGCAAGAGTTGTGGCTCGATCACAATCAATTACAACACTTACCGCCTGAAATTGGTGAACTGAAGACGCTGGCGTGCTTAGACGTTTCGGAAAATCGCCTAGAAGATCTCCCCGATGAAATTGGCGGACTCGAGTCGTTGACGGATCTGCACTTGTCGCAGAACGTCATCGAGAAGTTACCTGACGGACTCGGCGAACTCAAAAAGTTAACTATTCTCAAAGTAGATCAAAATAGACTTTCTACTCTAAACCCGAATATAGGAAGGTGAGTGAACGTGAAATCTCCGCTGTCTCGTCTCAACGAAATTGTGCATGAGTTATTAGATAAAAATGGAAAGCTCTTGCTGTATATTTTATATTATTGTATATTTTTCAGGTGCGAGAATTTACAAGAGCTGATTCTTACAGAGAATTTTCTTTTAGAGCTACCAATATCTATAGGCAAACTTCACAATTTAAATAATTTGAATGTTGATAGAAATAGCGTGCAATCTCTACCAATAGAAATCGGTAAGATGTTTAATTATAAAAGGCAACTTTTCGTCATACGATATTACATAGACTAAAAATATGCAAATCTTAAAGAAACGATTCAACGCAATTATATAACTTTTGTATTTTTTTCATTTTATAGGAAATCTGAAGAAGTTGGGCGTACTGTCTTTAAGAGACAATAAATTACAATATCTTCCGACTGAAGTGGGACAATGTAGCGCACTTCATGTTTTAGACGTATCTGGTAACAGGTATACCATCTCTCTTATACTTTGCGATTTGTAGTTATTATCAGCTTTATTATAGTTAGCAAAGAGTTTTTTTTTTTTTTAAAGGAAGATTTTGAAACATAGCATCTTGATTAAGTACATCTATGTTGTTTATCTCTTATTAATTTTAAATAAATGATTGTTTACAATTATATTGTATAGGTTACACTATTTACCATATTCCTTAATTACCTTGAGCTTGAAAGCAGTATGGTTAAGTGAAAATCAGGCGCAACCAATGTTAACGTTCCAAACGGACGTTGATGAGGAAACGGGACAAGAAGTGCTAACATGTTTTCTTTTACCACAATTGGAATTCCATCCTGATGGTTAGTAATCGAGAAATTCGTCGTATTTAATCGTGTATTGATTCTAAGGTGGAACAAAGCAAACAATTGACACATAATTCTGTTTATCTTGCTTTATAGATTCAGGTAGGCTAGGAATGCTGGTTGGTATGAGAAATGTTCATGGTGAAACGCGCGAGTTGAGCGATGACGAAGGTTGGCAAGAAAGAGAAGCATCAAGGACACATTCAGTGAAATTTACTGATGAGCCACCAGAAGCTGATAAAGAGGTATGTTTATTTAACTTCTTCTTTTTTGTAATCTATGTCACTGTTTTCTTTTTAACTTTTTCGTTTTCTTTAGACGCCATTTGTACGCCAAAACACACCACATCCAAAAGAATTGAAAGCTAAGGCACATAAGTTATTCAGCAAAGGAAAAAGTGAAAGCCGGTCGGCATCTACGGATGATCAGGTAAATCTTTAGCATTTTATGAAAATACAACATTCTAATTATTCTCGCACTTAGCTCTTATATAGTATAATGGCTTTATTTTACTTTTGTTTGCAAGTTAACGTAAAACTTTTGCAGGATGTTTCTCAAACATTTGGACTAGATAAAACTGAATCGGAAATACCAATCAATTCTGCAGACATGCCACAGTCTGTTTCTGAGCAAGAGGGACCCGTGGAATATAGTACTGTACAAAATGACCATAAAGTACCCATATCAGAATCAGAAAATACTGGTGCTCAGTTTAATAAAGAGGCAGACACTCCGCACATTCAGAATGCTACAGAATTTAACGCAGTAAGTAATTTATAGAAATCTTTTGATTATAATATATAGTCATTATATTATCAATTATTTCTTTTATTCGATATGTCGATATTTGATATTAATTAAAATAGTTATCGACTAAAGCATATCTACGTACGCTCACAACTTATGTCGTTATGTCTGATCCTGTTAATATAAGAAAATTATTTTCACAGAATGCAAGAACTGAAAATTCTGTCTTAGAATCAAAAGATCAGGACGAAGAAGAGTCTGAGAATGAAGATATGCAAAGACACGTAGAGTTCAGTATTGTAGAAGATTCAAATTATGATGAAACTTGTGATTCTAATAAGCCCAATAAACTGCAGCGTAGAGACACTCCACATCACCTAAAAAACAAACGCATTCAAGCAGTTGACAAAGAGAAAGTAGCTTCCATTATCGCACAGGTTGATATTTTACTTATCAACAAATAAAAAATTTGTAACGTAGTTATACATAAAAAATATTTATAGTGGACACATCTTTTCGAAATTCGAAAAATGTCCCGAAAAGACTGAATACCAAAACAATGCCGAAATATAAGTTTCCTAAAATATTGAAAATATGCAATTATTCCGAAAAATTATAATACCAAAACCCAAACTTCTTATCATAATTAAGATTAATATAATTTTTAATCTTATATATATTCACATAAGTCCGAAAAGTATTAAAGAGTTGAAAAATTATTATATATGAGTACTCTAATTATAATGATACATGATTCATATGACATACATATGAATCAACAATGATAATAAATATTCGACAGACAATACGTGGAATATAACGATATAATTAATTTTTGTAAAGGAACATTTTCTATCGATCATATGTCCACTATATTTATTAATAGTTAACATATTAACGTATTAAAAATCTGTAAGATGTGTTCAAATCATATTTAGTATTAATATCTATATATATATATTATATATATATATATATATATATATATATATATATATATATATATATATATATTATATATTATATATATATTGTATTTATAGGCATTGAAAAAAGTTGACGCTGAGTCTTCTATACCTGCACCAATACAAGTAGAATCCACGGAAACATTTGATACACATAGTCAAGGTGAATGTGAGAATGAAATTTAACAGTAATTGCATAGTTACACTAAAGTTTATTTATTATATATCACATTTTCCCACAAGACAGTTTAAGTGTTTGCATATTAATCGACGTTTGTTTATTCCATCTTTATCGAGATTATAGATTATATAATTGTTATCTTGTAGTAGTGATAAAATTGTTTAGGTGAAAGAGGAATCTCTAATTTTAAAGGCCATTCACGTCGTGTGAATTTTATCATTTGATAAAAGAGGGAGACACGATAAGAGTCTTACTCACCTACCATCTTATCTTTCCAGTTATAATCCAGTTATCAGAGTGTATCTCTCGATAGTTCAGTATATACATTTAGTATGGAAGTTGAGACATTCTGATAGAATATTCGTTTATATGTGGCGTGTGATATTTCTTTCGCGGATAGAATAAAACAAAAGAATTATTTGACAGAATGTCCAAACAATATAAATGTTATATTAGAAACAAAAATATCAGAACAAAGAAATGTCGGTACATGGAATTCGTAACAGTGTACTATGTATTCATCAATATTCGATAAAAATGTATTAACGTGCTGCACAAAAAAAGTTGCTAATTAGAGATTTACTATTTTAGATGCAACATCTGACATTGAGCCAACGTTGGAAATACGAGAGGAGCAATATGAAATTCATATAGAAAGAACGACAGGTGGTTTAGGTTTGTCAATTGCTGGTGGTAAAGGATCGACACCTTTCAAAGGTGAAGATGAGGGAATATTTATTTCAAAAGTTACCGAAGGTAAGTATTTCTATATAAGCGATTAACTCTATGAAAATCAATGTATTCAATTTTATATCTAATAATTTTATATTCAACGCTAACATTTTTTATTATTTATTAATTCTATTAACTTTTTTTATTGCATTATTGCACGTTGTACAAATATTTTTGTTATATTTTACAACATTCGTTTACGTAATAATTATTTATTTTGTGTATTTTTAGGTGGGCCTGCAGATCTGGCTGGTTTAAGGATAGGGGATAAAGTAATATCCGTAAATGGAGTATCGGTAGTAAATGTAGATCATTACGATGCCGTGGAAGTATTGAAAGCGTGTGGACGTGTTCTTGTGTTAGTTATCATAAGGGAAGTAACAAGGATAGTTCCACCATATGAGGAGGTATGTAGAAATAATTTTTTTTTTATATCTCTATTATTTTCCTTATCATTTCATAGTAATATTACATCGATCTGGATAGAGAATCATAATATTCATTTTAAATGAATAAGAATGACATGATTTTTGTTATTATTTACAGACGCCAATAAGAAAAGATTCTGTATCTTCTAGTTTGAGTACAAGTAGAGCACCAAGTGCAACATCATACGTTTCGTCCACAGCATTATCGCATACTTTAGAAAATGGTGATACATCTACGTCTCATGAAATTGCGAAGGTAACACGTTCGTGTCTGGTACTTTCGATAATTTTTTTTTAATAAAGTATGACTGCTTTGATTTTAATACGCTGTATCTTACAGACGAGAAAGATCCCCGAACCTTTAGCAACTATAAAAACGAACAGTGAACCTATGGTACCTGTTCTTGTTCATACAACATTAATACGAGATCAAAATGGGCTCGGATTCAGTATTTCTGGCGGAGAAGGCACATCTAAGAATAATAGCGATGTAAGCATTTTTTTTCTTTGTAATACAAGCTTCTTAATACTATTTTATCTACTTATATATCCATATAACCACATATATCTATATTTATATTTTCGACGTTTTTAGACAATAACCATCTCTAGAATAACAGATGGCGGAGTTGCCCAAAAAGATGGCAAGCTATTAGTTGGAGACAAAGTGATATCCGTGAGTATATTTTTACCGAATTTGTTAAGTTTATATTTTCAAATGAAAAAATTCAATTTTTATATTTATCGAAACCTGCGCGCTCTCTCTCTCTCTCTCTCTCTCTCTCTCTCTCTCTCTCTCTCTATCTATCTATCTATCTATCTATCTCTATCTGTAATATCAATCGCACAAGTTAAATAATCGTAACTTGCAGATTAATGGAGTAGAAATGAGAGGAGCAAAACACGAGCAAGCAGTGGCTTTACTTACCGGCTTGGAAAGATTTGTTCGATTGGTAGTCGAACGGGAAATACCGCTTTCTCAAGCGAATCCTGCCAATGTCGTAACTCCTTCCGAAAAATCGCCACGTGTTATAGGTGCACCCAAACCTTATACAGGGCTGTACAATGCTAACAGCTATATGGCAAACAGACCCGGATACGGTGGATACCGTCGCTCCATAGACGCCGATAAAGCTTTGTCGCCCAGTCCTACATCAAAGACGCCGCCGCCACCACCGCCGCCGCCAATGTTACCCGTAAAATCCGATGTTAACGACACGCCCAAGATGAATGGCGTAACCGAGTCGGGCAGCGCCTTGAAGAATGTTTCGCCAATATCCCCTAACCCGACAATTAATCAAGCATATCCGCAGCCTGCTCCGCGACATAGTGTTTCGCAGATGACACCTCCCGCACCTACGAACAACGTCGGTTCCGCAGGAACGACTCCCGGCGTAGAATCCTCACAGAGACCAGCGTCTCCGCAGGAAGACATACAGGTACCGAAGCCAATCACCAACGAGGAATTTCAGGCTATGATACCCGCTCATTTCCTTCGACCCCCAACATCCTCGCCTTCACCAGACTCCCATCAGGGCCCTATTGTGACAGTGACGATAAAGCAGCCCGATAATTTGCCTGGAGACGTTAACTTTCCTCCAGCTCCTACCACCCTTGGTAAAGTTACTGAAACCATCACAAAGAGCACGCTCACCGAGACCGTCGTAACTCGAGTGACCGACAACCAGTTGGTGCAACCACTTATTATCGAGGTATGTGCCTGGTAGTTAGATGCATCAAATATATGCACATTTGTATTGACATGATCCTTTTCTATCCTTGTATAGAAACTTTCATTATATTTCATCATTTTTCTCATTTTCATAAGTTTTTACGTTGATTTCGAATCGTATCACACGCACTTGTCATCACGAATTTATTTCTCAAGTTTAAGAACAAATTGAGAAAACTACTATTGCACTTGATTTTATTTTTTATATGTGTGCGTACATAAATAAGAAAATAATTTTTACACGCGTTTATATATATATATGCACTTTCACAAATAAGAGAAAAATAGTGAAAAAAAATGTACTAATCTCTCCTCATCTATATTTGTTCAATAATATTTTGGCTTTTCACTTCTAGCTTATTTCCATGCTACGATGATAATTATAACTCTAAAGCAATCGTACGCTTTAATTTCGGTCAAATATACAGAAAAGTATATATATTCCAAATTACACAGAAATTATTTCTTAATATTAATTAAAATGTATATTTTTATATCTTTGAATCTTTCTTTTAATATTTTATGTTTGTTTTACTTTTAACGCAGAAAATAGTTAAAAATATAACTGGAAAAAATTATTTCATATCTTCATTGTTTTTATATATCATTCATCCTTCCCTACTATTTAAACCTGATCTTGTCCAAGTCATAATTGTCTCGTACATAATTAGATACACAATTGAGAAATATTTAAGCAAATATTCGCGCAAAGTTGCAACCTAAAAAGAACGAATATAAAAGAATTATATGCTCTAAAAAAATTTTAGTCTACTTTGCAGTTGTTCTCTCTGCATGTTTAAATATATTTATATTATAATTACTTTTTATATGTACGTGAATATTTGTGCTGAGCTATATTTCTTTTGTGTCTAGTTTTACATATTTTCCGTAAATTGATCGAAAAAATATTCAATAAACTAATCTAAACAAAAAAATATATATATTAACGATGGCTTTAGTTAGAATCAATTTAACTATCGATGGACTATCATAAACACGTTGCTTATCCTCTGGCATGGAAATAGGTAAGTAGTGTAGACTTGTTTGTCATCCTATATCATCTTAATGAGCAGAAATAAGTAAAGCCGTCTTCGCTGTAATTTTACTTTAATATAATTTACGTCGATGTGTATATTCGCTATCTTATGTTATATTTCTTATGTCCTGAAAATTCTCTTCTAAGCTCTTATTATTCCATTAATACTTTTGGCATCTTATAATATTGAGAGCTTTGTTCAAATGTATAATCAATTTAGTGATTATTGCGTTTAGGATGTTGTCCTTGTGAAAGAAGGCTCTTTGGGCTTCAGTATCATAGGAGGGACAGATCATTCGTGTACTCCATTCGGTGCGAAGGAACCTGGAATTTTTATATCTCACGTAAGTTTTTATAGTTTCTTTTTAATTTAAAATTTTATTTGTTTCGTATATTTATTTTTGTACAAATATATTAGGTTGTTCCTGGTGGTATAGCAGCCAAATCTGGTAAATTAAGAATGGGTGATAGGATACTAAAGGTAAATGGTACTGATGTGACCAAGGCTACTCATCAAGAAGCGGTAATGGAACTTCTAAGACCAGGGGATCAAATTGTGCTTACCATTCAACATGATCCGCTTCCAGAGTGTTATCAGGTAAATATTATGCAATAGCATTGAACACAATATCGCTATTAAACAGCTGTTTAAGTTAGTGATGCTTATAGATCTATAAGTTTACAATATATATTAAATATAAAGATATTTTATATCACGTTTTACACACGTATGCATATATTATATAGTTAGTATATTCTTTTCATCACTTAGCAAACTGATTTTACTTTCATATTATATATAATATGGATATATTTTATATTATATATAATGATCTGTGATTATACATTCTTTGGAATATATAAATATAGTATAGTACTATATTATTTCTTAAATATTCGCTCAGAATGTGACACACAATAAATTAGTAAAGTGATTTTCTACAATCTTTAGATCACTACTCACAGTTATGTTGCAAATATATGCACATTTAACAAAGCGTTTCTTAGAAAAAAATCATTATATAACTGTTTTATGCTTAGAACTTTAGGCACTCTACTCAACAAGTGAGATACTCTTCAGAAGCATTTCTTTCTGCGTGTTCTGTTAACATTTTTTTCTTAAAGAATGCTTGTTAGTTGCAAACATAATGGCACTCGGTGCTTTTACGTGTGATTATTTCCTTACCTAATGCGGTTTTTTTTTTTATAATTTGCCCCACAAGCTGGTCGAAATAGAGTACATCCCTGTGACAGTAAGTACTCGATGCATTTGACCCGTAACTTTACGTTCTCATTTATGCTTGTTCCTACACCAAGGCTGCAAACTTCATTATTAAGTTACGAATGACTCGCTTTTGCTTATGCTGATCTTCTGTTATTTTAATTTATTATATTTTGTTCCCCATAGCTTTTTGTGCTTTGTGTCATGCTATTATATTTAGTATTATTAAATATCGAATAAGACGGTTTCTTCTCTAGAAAAATTTAGTTGGACCTTGTCTATTTTTGCAATCTTTTAAGTGTCAATGTTCAAGATATCATTTTTGCCAATCCCTCGATTTACAGTGTTAAATTTTTCTCTTATCTCGCCCGTAAATTTTTAAACACCATTAAAAATACATAAATAGATGTCAATCGTCTTTAAGTGTAAATAAATTATTTTCTAATACAGATATAGAATACATATAGTTTTAAAAAGAAAAGATGTAACAATAATATTTGTAGTTTTGTAATATCCTTTCTTTCCCTGATTCTGTACAAAAGTTTGAGGTAAAAGATCGGTAATGTCTTATCAAGAAAATTGATTTACCTTGTTTTAGGAATTAGTAATAATAAAGGAAGCAGGAGAAAAGCTTGGTATGCACATTAAAGGAGGACTCAGAGGGCAGAAAGGCAATCCTCTCGATCACACCGATGAGGGTGTTTTTATATCGAAAATTAATACTGGTGGTGCAGCCAAGAGAGACGGGCGATTAAGGGTAAACGCATTTGTAATATTCGCGTATTATTTATTCTTTTAATTCAATATATTTATGCTTAAACATCAACGTATTTTTTTAATAGGTTGGTATGAGGCTACTAGAGGTCAATGGCACATCGTTACTAGGTGCAACTCATCAAGAAGCCGTAAACATTCTTCGGTGCTCGGGAAATACGATCACATTAGTTGTATGTAAAGGTTACGATAAAAGCGAAGTTGAACCGATATTACCGTTATCCGACGGTAGAGATTCTAAAGAAGCTAAAGTGCCCCACGAGTTAAGAGATCCAGCCGCGGATGGCAATAAATCTCTGTCGCAAAGTGTATCTAGTTTAGACCGTGACGACGAGGAAGCTGCAACACTCAGGCAGGAACAAGAAATGAAGGCTGAACTTGTTGCTTGGGAGCAAGAAGAACGAGAACGTGCATTAGTAGAACAAAGAGAAAAATCCACGCCTGAGAAAGTAAGACTTATTCGATTGATCTGTACATAATATTTTATAGGCTTATATTTTTCATTAATTTTGGAAATTTATAGCATATATTTCTATTTCTTTTCTGACGTCATAAATTAAGATAACCGTAACAAAAAGCCAGGATACTTTGAATTTTAACTGATTAAAATAATTGCGAGACGCATTATTACAAATATAAAATTATATACATTATAATAATTCTTATAATTTTGTGCTTTGATATAGGTATTAGATGTCGTACGAGCAGCAGAATCATTAGTAAGCAAATCGAACAGTCCTGTCGACATGGTACCGCCAAAATCACCTGGGGGTACCAAAGATCTCAAAACTACCACTATCGTTATGAGCAAACACACGTTAGCACCTCAGAATCCTAATGTAAGTATTATATTAGCCATTATTTTCTTTAAATCACTCTATATCTCATACTTCTTAAAGTATAACCAACTTGAAAACACATATAGTTTACAGAGTGTCCCGCAACTACCGTCACTCACTTCAGTCATTCTTTAAACAATTTTTTCCTTAAGAAATGTACTTCTCTTTTAGAGAAAATATTCGATACTACGTTTTATTGACTTTTTATACATTAATTTTAAGTTGATTTTATAAGATTAATTTGTTAAAGATGTCTTTCTATGTGTTTTTATATATTTATATTTTATTTTTTATAAATTTTTGGGTTTATATTTTTTAACAATTAAAATTGACGTTAAAATAATGATATCTTTTTTCTATTTGAGTCTATAGTATTCGCAATTTTCTAATGTTGATGGTAGTGTCGGAATACTTTGTATATATGAACATATTATTGGAAATAAAAATGATATAATAGGTGACAAAAATTATTATTATAACTTACATGTAAGCAGAAAATATTTACAACTTTTTTTTATTATAATGTTGCATGTATCATAATTTTAACTTTAATAACTTGTTAGTTAGTTTTTAATACATAGATAATCCATGCATCCTTTTTTTTTTATAATTGGCGTTGTTTTCTTTTGTTTGCTTTGCATGGCTTTCTCTCTCTCAACACGATTATTACATAATTTATACTTCTTTTATCCAATATTGCCGATTTGTGAAAAAAATACGGATATATACGATATTTCTTGTCATTAGGTAAAAATTTTGAAATCTAGGGGAAACGTAAATTATTGTACAGCATTTTTTTTTATAGAAACTAAATATTTTCGATCTTTGAAGTTTTTAGCCGGACATAACCAGACTTACCAGCCAATCGTTTTATTTAGGAAATTTTAATCCCTTACTATATGTAGCGATTTTTCTTTGATCGTTACATATAAAACGCATACGAGATACACATGCAGCCGTATACGCGTAAGCGCACTTGTAGAGTTCTTCATAAAAATTTAAAGAAACAGAGTAAAAGATAGAGAAAAAGTATGGAAGTTTTTCGATATCTTAACTTATTTTGAAAAAAATGTATAATATTCCACTTATACTTTTCACAAAATTGTACATCTAAATTATCTTCGCCCGTCGTTAAAGAACATATTTTATCGCTACGCCAGGAGTTTTATTATAGCCGGCGGCGTCGGCGTATTCCTAGTTTTCAAGTAAAAGAGTATTATTCCAATTAGAAGGTGGCTCAATACATAAAATATCAATATGAAAGTACATTTCAAATGAGAGGGAACTGAGTCGTTCTCGTACAAATTTTCACTAAACTCGACTTGGCATTATCTCTCCAAGCTTCTGACTATTCGACATAAACTTATTTGCATTTTTGCATTTACGTTTCCTACGCGACAGGAGTTCTGTATCGAACTACATGGAATTATTCATAAATTACTCTACTCTGTCATCGTGTAAATACGATCTGTTAAATGATTTCACTATAGGTACCCTTACGTGGTGCATGAAATGTACAATTGTCGATGTGTTTAGCGTCGCATGCTCTCCTGAGCGCCGAAAAGAGAGAGATGTTTCACATGTTTACAGACAGTGGAAGATGATAGTGCTACTTTGGCTGCCCTCTAACAGGAGTGAGTCGTTCGTCTTTCTACTCATTTTCCCTGTGTCTGCGTCCATGCCTCTGATTCCGCGGGACTGTGCCATAATAAAATATTCTAAGAGTTACTACAGCATTAAACTCGGCATATAAATCACTGTTTGTTGCGTTTTTATATGTCCACAGAAGTGTTATACGGCATAGTTATTGTTACTCCATTTGTTACTGATACTGCCATTACAATATTAAGTATTAATCGAGAGTACGCTAATGGCTGATGGTTAAAAGTCCGCAATTAATTATTTGCTTTGATAAAAGTGGGGTTTCGGATCACACAATACATAAACGTATGATATCTTGCCCGACTAGGCATTGATCGTATATACGATATATATACACGTATACAAAACTCGTTTTTTTTCGTTCATAGGAGGATAATAAGGGAAAATATTTCTGTGATAGATAGATAAAAGAATTGTAATGCAAAATCTTCCTAACGAGATTTTTTTAGTAATATTTTATACATTAATTCTTAGAACTTATTTGCGCTAAATTCATGCGATACATATGAAATATGGTTACCACAATTAATCTTAATTAACTTGATTGTGGTTTTTCTCAACTACAGAATGAATGACTCTAAAAATAGATGATTTGTGATACGTGAATTGACAAATTTTTTAATATAATAAGAATCTATATGTATGCAAGTTTTTAAGAGCTTTCAGTTTATAGTTTCATTCTTATTTTTTACTATAATCCTAAATCAATAGTTTAATAATTCAAGCAGAATTTTTAATTATATACTTGATATAAAGCGTTACATATCTACGCGTCTACGTTCTCTAATCATATATAACAAAATAACTATAAAAATGGATACAGCATAATTTAAATTGCCGTCAATTTTGCAAGAGATACTTTATGAATGTTCTAGTTAAAGCACACTGGTTCTGTATTACATTTGGCTAAATGCTTTAAAAGAGCATATAATATTTTCTACACGAAATCCTTTATTGATAATGACGTATTTGTAAAAAAAAAGTAAAAGAAAATAATATTCTATGACCACGTGATATTCTTCATAACACGTCTATAAAAAGAAATTGCAGATAATTGTTTTATACCTTGCTGTTAAGATGTGGGCAAATATTAAATTTACTCTAACAAGGCATTGTAATATAACGCGTTATAAGAGAATTAGAATATATAATTCCGAGATAAATAAATTATATATATAAAGAATATACATATATACATATGTACGTATGAATGTGTGCATATATGTATATATATATGTACGTATGTATATATGTATGTATATATGTATATACATATATTTCCTAGTTGCATATTTCCTAGTTGAATTACCGTCTATATACCATTGTTAATTTTAAAGAAGCGCACAATGCGATTATTACTTACTATTGCACAATTTCATTAATCATCAACTGATCATTACATATATATGTCAGAAAGTATCACGGTATGTCGCGTTTTTATAATTTCTTCTTGTATATTGGAGTTGATCTTTTTCGGCTAAATTTTGATAAATCGCATATTTTTCGGTATTTTACTTTTAATATGAAATATCTTGATTATTATCAAAATTTATATTGTTAAAAAAATCAGCGTTAAAATCTGATTAGCGAAAAGTCCTTCATATTCGGGACTCCTGTTATTTATTTATTTAAAAAATTACGATGTCTCCATTTTCCTTCGATTTTATTCTATAAAACCATCATATTTACTGTTACCATCATATTTTGCGTGTACAGACCCTAACGAAAGAACAATAATATCTCAATCTATTAAGAGTTATAATGTTGTTGCGAATGCATTTTGAATATGGGCCTTTGACTGAGTTAGATTTTTTAATGGTCTCGATATTTAGTACATTTAGTATTACAATTAAATCATATCATCATTCAAATTTAAATTAATGTATCTATATATATACACACGCATATATATATACATATATTTTCTATAAGCATTATATATGTTCACATAACTCTAATGGACCAGATGTTTTATATATAACTACAAATTATTAGATAAGAACTAATATTTACCTAATAATCTGAAAGATGTTAATGTTGAAATTCCAGTTGATTGGCATAGGAATGAAATTTGGATGTTTTTAAGACGATTTGCCTATGCACAGAATTTTTCTGAAAGTGGTTAATAGTTATTCCTGTTGTAAGATGTATTAAGATGAGAATAGTTTTTCATAATTGTACTTAGATAGGAAAAATATAATTGGAGGGCATTATTTTATTGTAATGTAGTTTCACCTGAAATCAATTTATTATGTTGTTTCATATAGTGTCTTGCAGTGGAGGAGACTGTTGTACCGTGAAACAATTTTCACCGGATCTGTCATTTTCTTTTATACCTCTCTATTTTTTGTTTCAATCCTTAATAATTAATCCTTGAATATGCGTAATATTTTCTCCGTTGTTCTCTAACGCTATCTTAAGATAGCACACATTTCCTATCGTTATTATGAGCTAGATCTTTTTTAAATATTGAAGATTGTTTCGAAGGAAAAATGCCCGTGTACCTATGTCTCTGTGCAAACTTACACTTAAATCTTGCACGAATATAAAGAATAAAGCAATAAGAGCGATTAAAACCGAATGGAATTCTTAAAAAGAATTCCTTTAACAAATAGTTTAAACATTTTTGTGGAAAGATTATAAAGTTCCAGGCGAGATGAAACACAGCCACACAGTTATTCTACAGGGTATATAATATAAATGCATAATAATATTTAGTCCATATTTAGTCCAACGAGTGATCTCGCAGAGTAGAGTGAGACGAGTAAAAAATTACCGGGTGTCCCTGGGTACTCGAGGCATACACGACAGTCTCCACTACGTCGATACGTACGATGGATAGGGTACAAATATAGGATAGCCTTACATAAAATGAAAGAACGTGTTTAACGTGTTGACCATGTGTTTATAACTTAAATTATGCGCGAGGTTGCATGATTTATTGCAATAATAGTACAATTGAAAGAAATACTATTGAACGTATATATATACATATGATCATGATGCAAATAATTCGACAAATAAGTTTGAAGTTCTTGTTTGAATTCCACATAGATTTTGTATGACACACACATACACATGTAGCATTCGAAATAAATCTGTTTTAAAATATAACATATATTCAACTTTTTTAGAGAAATCTGCATTAGTTATCAACTAGATTGGTGGTTCAACTACCAGTGAATTAATTAGCGCTTGACTCTATCATATTTGATAATAAGCTGAATGTTTATTGTGGATTGTCCTTTTATTACGATTTTTTTGTACAGTTATTTTTAAGCAATATAAACAACGTCTCACCTCCATCGTGTTGATCGTTAATGTAATACTTTCTTCGAAATTCGTAAGAAAATCCTTCAAATGTTAATGCAATGGTGGTGAAACAATTAGTATTGTCGTGTGTTCTTATTATGATTTATAATAATAAAATAGTTTTGTGTGTTGTCGGTTGCTTCGCACGTGATGAAGAATTACTTCTCGATATGTATATTTTGATTTCGCTCTATATTGCATTTTATTTAATTGATATAATTTGACTAATACAATTTTCCATGTTATTTACCCAGTCAAGAACGAATAAGACAGCTGGAACGTCTAAGGACTTTTCTTCGTCAAAGTCATCCACGCTACCTACTCCTGCTAAAGCAGCGAGTTTCGAACGCTCTACCTCTATGCAAACCTTACCTTCTCCGACGAAGAAAAAGTCTTTGTCGAAACGCAGTATCACGTTTGCCGACCTGCCGCCGTCTTTAAAAGAGAGCTCGAACTGCATTGCTTATCCGTCCCGTGTTGAATCTGCGTCGCCTACGATCGAGCGGCAAATTCAGTCGTTGCAGGATACATTTATTACTTCCCCTCCGCGAGTTGCGTCCTACGAAAAACCTGCACACGCACGTTTCCGACTTCCTCCGACGCCTTTAACTGCTCCCGAATGCAGTGGAAATCTTGATACTTCGGCTTCCTTTAGCAAACGACAGATAGCACGTTCTGTTGATGGCAAGTTTCAGGTTGAGGTGGGTTTCAGAAGCATGTCTAACTACTAACATATTATTCATTATTCGAGTATATCTTATCGAATGTCAATATGCATTTTGTTGAACTAAACTTTCTTGCGTATATAATGAAACTATAACAACTCTTATGGAATGTGAGATACACTTCTTGGAATGTGCAGTATATGACATACATCATATATTATACAGTTATCTTGAATCATATTCATGTATTATTCACGTATATTTCACATGCGTATGAATATAATTCAGTGTAATATTAATTTGCGTAGGAAATTATTATTTATTATGATATTTATTAATATAAATGTTACACACACAGCAATCTCCAGCTTCATCTCCAACACCACCACTGACAAAAATGTCAGTCAGTGATAAGAAGAAGTTGTTCGAAAGTGCTATGGAAGAACATTTAAAGCCGTCCCCTAAACCAGGTGAGAATATATATTTTCCTGCACGCAAAAAGAAAGATGATAGTTTATCTAATTTGGATTAATGTTAGTTTATCTAATTTGAATTAATGTTAAAAAAAATGTTGAGCAAATAGAACTTGAAACGTTTATGAAATACATGATTTACCTTTCTAAATATTCTTAACGATTCATGATTTATTTATTCTAATATAAAGTTTATATCCTAATATAAAGTACAACACTAATTGATTTCTGATAATTTTATGTATGCGTACATACCTTTGTTACAGATAAAATATTCACCTTTTTAAGTCAAGACGAGGTAGAGAAAATGAAACAAGAGGAAGGTAAACTATTACTTGAAGATACACTTTTGAATTATCACATTTTTTTTATTTTACGTCATATAGTCCTTTTTAATACATTAATACTAGCTAGATAGTTAACTAACAAAACTACTTGTGTGTACGTTTAGCTCGATTTCGCTTTTTTTGCAATACAAAATATAATCGCAAGAAAACAATCGCTAGAAAAATACCTCACATAAATGTTGAGTATCGTCAATCATAAACTTTTATTTTAACAGAAAAGAAGATCGCAACTTTGACGCGAGATGAACTCAAGTCATGGGCACAGCTTGACGAAAACGAAGGTCTCGAAGATTTGGACACAATGGATGATCAGGATAATGGCCGACCTAAGTAAGCTCTTCACTCTTCACATTAAAATTATTTCTATTTCGATAATAATGCAAGATGCATCATGACATGCAATTTACGTGTGCATCAAGTGGCAGTATTTATCGTTTAATATAAATTATATTAAGAGAGTATGAAATTACGCAATTATATATTAAATATATATTTACGAGTAACATAAGAATTAGATAACTTGCGTAACGGATTAGGTATTATAACGGGCAGCTTCTCTAAAGTTACAAATTTATTGTTATGTTATTATTTTATATTTTTATTGACATATATATGTGATGAGACTGATTTTACAGTCCACGTAGAACAATACACAGTATTTTCGAATAAGCTTTTTTTATGTGTGTGTACAATACGTTTATAGTGATGTATATAGTTTTGTTTAACATTAGAATATATTAATTTCTATGCGTGCGTGTATATGTGTGTGGGTGTGTGCGTGCGTGCGTACGTGGCGTGTGTTGTGATGTACTAAATAGATCACGTGTTTATCACGCCTACGCAAACACGTTGGTGAAGTTTTCCTTTCGTCTTTCCCAAGCTGGTCGGTGAGATTCAGGACACGTTTGCTTCTTGAATTTTGGTGTAGCATATACACGATTGTTTATCGCAATCAGTGTTCTTAATTAACGTCGTATTCGCAAGATAATCGCTGTACAAGATCCCAACATACTCAAATATTCATCTTCCGGGAAAAAGCTTCACCAACGTCCGACATTTATGATTTAATTGTGTTTTGCATGATTCCTGATACTATACATTTATTTGCACCTTTATTTGCTGCCGACAATGAGTTCCGGATGCGAATCCGCACCAGCTTTTACACGCTCTTACGCTGTATATTCACGCCTATGCATACTAGGTTTTGGTTTACGCGGTGAACCTTCTGTATCGGATTTTTGTTACACACGAGACAAATATGAGAGTTTTATGCAGATGAAATCTGTAACAGATTCAAGATAAAATGAAACGCCAATAAGAATGTAGTTTGCGAAACATTTCTCGAGCTCTCATTTTTACGAGTATCTTGGAATATTTCCTTGCCTGACTTCCTAGGCTAAATAATGTTTCAGTTAGATTCAACGTCAAGTGTCTTGTGTCGAAACGTCCATGTCGTTTGTCTCAACGCTAGTACATAACGTGAAAGATACTCCTGTATTTTAATAGCGGCGCTCGCATAAACTGTCTCATCGGTATTTGAAGAAAAAAATGAATTCACTACAAATTGCCACGAACGATCTGAATAGACTGAATAAGAGAAAAGGGAAACTAATTTTATGTCGCTTTTGTATATTGTTCGAATAAACATTATGTCTATATAGCATATGCATAATCATTCGTCAGTATGCATGCTCGTTACCTTCCAGTAGCCGACTGAGCTCGCGAACTTCGATCCCTCTTGTCCAGAATGTTCCCAGCAGTGTGAGGACGGCGAAAGCGGAACGTCGTTTGAAAGAACGATTAATACAAGAGGTATCATCTCAATGCATTTGTTATATCTCAATTAAAATTGTATAATCGATATATTGAAGTCAATAACACTGGCTTACAGTCAGAAATCTTGCACGAATCACGACAATTATGCTCCACTCTATTCGAAACTGATCTTTTGTTCTTCGCTAACACAGGGCCTTATCTCGGACGAAGACGAGGAGCACCTTTTGAGTCCGGCGGAACAGCGAGCACTTAGAGCGGAGAAGCGCGCCGCTTGGCGACAAGCACGTCTTAAATCTCTCGAGCAGGTAAAGCTGGAGGTTGATATCTGTATACATTAGAAGCGCTAACAAATCATTATAATTAATTGCATATATCTATATTTTTGTTGATAACACGCTAATACTCTTTTTGTACTTGTAGGATGCGCTTCAGGCACAAATGGTGATCAAAAAGATGAGTGAAATAATGGACACTAATAAGCACGAAGATAGGCGTGATGCGACCGATGCGATCGATACCACGGCTGATTTTACTCACGAACAAGAGAAACCGGTCGAAGTAAGTGTTTGGAATATATCCCGAGACAAAACGTTAATTTTCGTGATCCAATTAATACGTAACGAGAGTCCTCTAGAAAGAGATTATACAATTAACCCGCAAGCTTTAATCGTGTCGGAGTTGTGTATTTAACCCGATTGTTTCACTAATTGCTGTCCTGCTCGCCTGAAGCTCTAACACAGTGTTGCATAAGAAAAAAGAGAAGAAGAAAGAGAATGATATTACTACAACGGTTGCCATTTGTCTGTCTTTTGCTATCATAGTTCGCTACGTTACGGCCGTCTAGCGCGGATTTTCCTAAGCTCGCTGTGCGCAGTAAAGTGGGTCCCCCTAAAGAGATACGCGAATCCGAGAAAGTAGTGGACGAGAAGGTCACTCGGCGTACCGAGGAATATCTAGATGAGGTGACGGGCGAACGTCGTGTACGAACCGTTGAATACGTCGAGAAGCTCATTGAGCGTCAGGTATTATTATTCCTAAAACTTGCACTAGCGTTAAAGTATACAAGTACACATTTGGTAAAGGAGCGAAGAAGAGAAGGAGAGAGAAAAAAAGAGCACGATAACAGAGATCACATCACTGTTGCAACGATTTTCTATTTCCGTGCACTGCACTTTCTCGATATTTTTTCCTTCCCCCCCCCCCTTTATATTTATACTACAGACGAACTGATGAATTTGTGGTACAAATAGTCATCCTCTGTAGATACTAGACGATAAATTATACAGAGTGTCCTAAAATTAGCTTGTCGGTCTAATTTTAGGACAATCTGTAAGTCCAGACTATCTTACGCGCGTACACATTACAAAAAGTACAGTTTTACGGGAATCATTAAAAAGATCTTCTCATTGCGCTTACAGGTATCTGTGTAGTATGTGTACCATTTGTTCAATCATTATTGTGTTTACTGTTTCAAGACTCCGTCGCTTACTTCGATGATACGTTATGCACCACCTTGAATTATGAATGTCACTTCTACTGATCTCACTAACAACTTCCTTCTGAGCTATGGGGTAATTTGGTTTACATATATTTATACATGTATTTTTAAGCTTATATAACTATCTCTATGCATCTCTATGTAACATGTGCACTATTGACTTTACCTATGTATCGTCTTCCATTAGATATGCTTTTCATTGCATGTGAGAGTGATACATAACAGAATTACCAATTGAAAGAAGGTCGAAAGGCATAGAACAAAAAATTATATGTTTTTTCCATCAATATATTCCTTTCCGTCAAAGTCTAAAGTCTAAATTATTGTTCTGTAAAGTCTGGACGGCGGAAGCAAAATGTCGCCGATGCACATACATTAATACACGCGATGGAAACTAACATAAATCGAATATGATGTTTCGTCAATATCCTAGATCTTTATATATATATATATATATATATATATATATATATATATATATATATTTATTTATTTATTTATTTATTTATTTGTGTATACAGGGTGTCCCAGATCATCTTCACAATTTCTCATGAGGTCGTAGAGCGGATTAAGATGAACACAAAAATTCTATGTCGTTTTGCAATATTCGCAATAAAAGTCGAGAAATTAATTTTTTACAATTAATTTCTCGGTTATTATTGAGAATATCGCAGAACAATATGGGACTTTTGTATTCATCCAATCCGCTCTACGTCCTTACGAGAGATTGTGAAGGTGATCTGGGACATCCTGAATTTTTTATATTTATGTTTCATAGACACAGCAAGTTTTTTAAATTATCACTTGCACAATATATTTCACGTTCAATATATTTTACATGCAAATTCCGCGAAACAATCGTGATTGCACCGTTATATATCGCTAGAACACAGTGTGCGAAAATTTAATTTGCATTGCTGATTATAGCGTGTGCATTTTTGTGATTAGGTGGAGACTTTGAGGGAGAAAATTATATCCCTGGAACTTAGCAACGCGGAGGACGACGTGGAAAGTATAACCGGCACCGGTGTGAGTGATGCCGAGAGCGAGAGCGAAGATATTGCGGGACACAACGCGACTGTGAGCGGTGTAGAAGAGAAAACAGATTCTCACAGCACGGCCGACGCGACCGAAGTGGCTTCTGCCAAGGTAAATGCGAATATCACGGTTGCATCTACGAAGAAAAAGAAACGGAAGCGATCGAAGAAAGGTCGCCATTGACAACAGATGCGCATTTTAACGAGTAGATGTAAAGCATTGATGTTAAATATATTCGGTAAGAATCGGCGGAGCTTTTACTACTTTAATATCTGGCAATTACACGAATCGATCGTGTATCGTTCTACTTAGGTATGCACACATACACACATACATGCATACATACACGTATAGAAATAAAATCGTTCATTTATATAAATATACATACACACATATGTGTATATTTGAGAATACAAGAATTGAACGTTTCGAATATATCGGTACGCATTATCGTGATGTAACGACGTACCTGCGTTTTCTTTTTCCTTTTTTTATATATATATAATATACACAAGTAGCACATCCTTGATTCTATATAAACTCTACGCGGACGTATTATATATTTAATGAAAAAATAAGAGACATTTGTAATAAGACTTTTTGATCCTTCGGATACGTTCGGATACGTTCAACATCTTTAGAATTGTGTGTAGCTCTACCATTTGTATTATATCCTGCATACATATATGTATGCATCGAATGCAGTTCTATGAATCCGATGTATGTAATGAATTTTAATGTTAAATTTTTAATGTTTAACATCGTGTTACTGCATTTCTTCGTACATCATTGTCAATTATGTTGTTGGATCGCGTCTTCACTCGGAATTTTACTAACTTTGAAATTCATAGATATTTGATATTTTATAAAAAAATAAAACAAATTTAAAAAATAAGTAAATCATTAATATTTGTGTAAAAAAATAATAGCAGGACACGATAGATTTAAATTGCGAGGCGGATCTTTGAGAAGGTCGCTTACTCTTGATTCCAATATCTTTATTTTTGGGTAAATAATAGCAAAATATAGGGCATCTCCAAGGATCTATATATTTGTAATATTTTGCCATATCATTTTTACACAGTAGCTAGGTATCTACACACAACAGAAATATTAATGAAGAAAAAGATGTTAAAGTTAATATACCAACGAGGAATCGTTGAACGTGATTGCATTTCTTATACGCATGGTGATCATGCACTTCCGTTTTTCCGTCTGAAAATATATTTATAGTAATTTTATTAAAAAAAAAAAGAATACATTTTAAGACGTGATAAGATTATATAGTTACAATGTTATATACATAAGGCTCTTACAACTACGTTTTATATAATGTGTGCATTATAACGTCCATTCTCTTATACTGCACTTATTTATGTCCATTGCGACAAAAAAAAAGTATTTTAAAATTATTTCTATAATTATTTTGATAATATCTTGTAAATTACATTATAAATAATTAGTGAGCAGTGGCGATGTTTCAATTGTACATCTTAAGTTGGTCGGTGGCCCATCATATTATTTATAAGTTATTTTATTTATTTGATTTTTTAAATATACGATTTACGCGAAGATATATTCTAATCTGCGCATTCATTTGTTTTATTTGAGTAAAAGCAAATCTATATGATTCAAGAGTAAAAAGAATGTCAAGTTTTAATTTTAATGCGTATTATTAACATCGAGGAGCCACTATAAAATCGAGCAAATATAAATTATCATAATTATAGTTCGGTGGTTTCGATGTTTAACCAGAAGGTATTACATCTGTGAATGTAGTATATTTAATATGCGCTTGA